AAAGCTTTATTTATTTTTTACTCATTTCTAATACTTAGAATAATCATTCGCAGTCTTTATATCTTCTCTTAGCGCACAAATGTCGACTGGCTGCTTTTCGACCACTCACTGTGAGATTATGGCGGAGGTGGTGTAGTGGCAAGTGGCGCACTATATCACACGCACGATCAGGGGTTCGAGTCCCGGATCGATGCCCGTCCAGGCCAATCAAGCCTTCCATCCCCCCGGGGTCGGTGAATTGGTACCAGACTCGTCTGAGAGGATAAAAGCACTGACTTGTAAATCGGCTGGCCACCGCAAGTCATTGTATAGGCCACATACGCACTCATTACGCCACTACGATTCTGAATGGAAGTCGAGTGCGGGGGCGCATCCCTCAGACGGGATTGATTAACGCCAAAAACTTTATCCTTTATCCTTTATTCAGCATTAGTTGTAGTCAAAAACGAACCTCATAACACAAAATACGAAATGTCATCGCTAGCTGTACCCTCATTAGCCCAAGATATACCAAGGAGGACTTGAAAATAGTAAAAGAGTTGGGTAAAGGAGGGGACCACTGAGTTTTCCCAAAATTGGACGAATTTCTAACGAATCAATAGCATACTATTGCAATTCCTCGACAAAAAACCTACGTTGTCTTTGATTCTGAAACGCTAGCCTCCACCATATTCCACTGAATAAACAGAAAAGGCCGTGAAAATTTATGAAATTGGCCCTGGAAGGGTTTGTTTGTATCAAGCCTTTACCAGCGAAGAGAAGTGTATGTAAATCAATCGAAAAGTACAGAGATGGTCGATTTCAGCGAAATTTTCAAAGCGTCAAACTTCAGTTATGAAAGCTGTAGAGGCAATGGATTTACCGAAGAACAATTCGACTGGGTAAGCTGACCAAATCGGATTAACCTGCAGAAGAAAACTCGACCAAGGTCTACCTCATACCGGAAAGAGCTGGACTATGAACAACCGGAAGCTTAGGAGCTCGACCGGAACGTGTGTTCATTGGCATAGCTTATGACCTCGAAGAGAAATATTGCCCTAATTTGGTGGCCCAGTCGTGTCCACTACAGGAGGGAAGAGGGCAAGGTAGCGCCTTCGCGAGGGTCGCGCCCAATACAGTCGATACTGGGCGCTGCGAATTTTTCTTGGCTAAATGGTGGTGATTTCTGGTGATGTTTAGTCATCATTCAACTCTCCTTAAATGGTATGCCTTCGGTGTAGTATGACCATTCGAAACGAAAAATGTATAATTAATTTTCGACATGAATTCCCCCACATGGATTGTATGGCTACTTATCAACAAAATTTAAAGGATAATGTTGTATTCAGCATTGTAGTGACGTAATGAATGCCTATGTGACCTATGCAATGACTTGCGATGGCCAGCCGATGTTCAAGTCAGTGATTTTATCCTCCCAGACGAGTCTGCTACCAATTGAGCCCTGCTACCAATTAAGCGACCCTGGAGGGACGGAAGCTTGGTTGGTTGACCGACCCCGGATTGGTTGACCTGGGCGAATATCGATCTGTAATTCGATCCCAACCTGTGCCCATGTGTGTGCGATGATGCTCCATCTGCAACTACACGAACTCCGCCCTCTACCTACCGATTATCACAACAAAATTAAGAAAACGTATGAAATAATTATAAAATGAAGATTGCTATGACGAAGGGCTAAAAAAAACCCAAAGAAATCGTTACCTTTTTTTGGATGAACCGAGTAATGGTATGCGTTCATCATCTTGGCCTTTTTCGAACATTTTACCAGCTTGAGAACGATCTCTGAAAATATGGTTTTCACTTCAGAAAGAAAACATACACAAAGGGATTCGTCTCCATAAGCTAGCGTTTATCGTCCGAGGGAGACGTTCACTAACAAATTCTGTAAAACAAATGAGGAGTGAAATCGGTAAGTCATGTGGCCAGGGTGGCCGTTAATTATGTCCGTCTGGGTCTGTCTGTGAAAGAAATGAATGGAAGGAAGAAGGACAAAAAGAACGAACAAACGGTTGGATCAGTAAGAAACGGATGGAACAGGACAAGCTTTGAGAAAAAAGTTTGATAGAACGTTTGGAATAAAATTACATAACAGAAACCCTTGAATTGACGCTTCGTGCGTTGAAAAACAAGTGCTAATCTTAACAAGTGTTATTTTATAACAAATACAAAACTGGTTTGAGTCCGCTTCGCAATTTTGTCAAATAAACTTTTTATTTCGGGTCCCTACGGAGTAATCGAGTTACTTGCCAAAGTAACCTCCTATAAGTTATAGCTATGGAATACCTGGGTGACTCAATGAAGAGGACTTTGGCATATAAGCTAACTGTAATCAATAACTAGAAGGATTTTAGGCAAAAATGGTTTCGACTGGAATGATGCTTCAGAATAAATTGACTTTGACAGTTTTCGAGAACAACTTTAGCTGTTCCGAATGAACTTAGAATGAATAGGTACGCCTCCTAATATATTTGATCAGTCCGCAATCAGAAAAAAAATGNAAAAAAATACTGGAAAAAAGAAAAGTAAAGTCGGGGGTTGAGCAGAGTTTTCGTACTGACTGAGGGGAGATCCTTTCGAAGAGAACTGAAGCGAGTGGGTCACCAGGCGGCTGAAACAACAGCTCGAAGATAAGATAGTAGCGTCGTGGTTGGTAGTGACCGACCGTAGACAGATCGATTTTGGAAACATTCAAAACATTCTGCTACTGGGCTGAAAACTGTGATTTGTGGCCGATCCAGGGGAGTCATCAAAAGTCAAACGATTAGAGTGGATGTTATGCCGACTGTCGAATTCTGACGGTGATATGACTCCTCCGACGGACTTCCCTACACAGTACTTGAGAGTTTCTGTGTATTTCAAGATTGTAAATAGGGAAAGTTAGCTACGAAGATCATGGACCCCGGTGCTCACGCCAAGGAATAGGAGATGAGTTGGGCTGGGGACGTTATGCGATATGATGATGACCGTTCGACCTCAGCGGTAAGTGATTGGATTCCACGGGAGGACAAACGAGTCCCAAGACGGCAGCCAGGGCGATGGTTAGACTTCGTCGAAAGAGATCTGAACAAAAGGAATGCTCTGGTACATGTCCCTCGAGCGAGTACGGCAACTGGACCACTCTGGCAGCGCCTTCTTGAATCACACACAACTGGCTTTGCAAGTCCCTAGTGGTTTAGGAACGTTTCATAACCGGAAAATATGTTTGTTCTAAGCCTGAGAGGGGAGCTCCGGGGCGGGTCAGCCAAATGGTCTCTCAATTCTGATCCTATCTTAGCTTTTTGCACAAGTTAATCATCTCACCAACCCCGGAGCTCCTCCCCTTCTGAAGGTTAGGTAAATAAAACACTTCTTTCGGCTAAAACTATCCCTATGCACAGGTAGGAATGGCTACCCCTTCTTCCTTGCGCTCTAGCCTTTAATGATGATGAGAGGGTGCTGCCCTTCCCCCCCCCCCCTCNNCTTGTTTAACTCTAATTAGTTAGCATTAGACTATTCTAGTATTATAGGAACCAATTTTCTGGAAATCGACCAGCCATGTCGAGTCAATTACAATTCCACACACGACTTAGACGGGAGTTCGACCTACAATCGTTCATTTACTAACAACGCTACTTCTTACCTCACTATTTTGTATATTTTTCCAACATTCATAAGAAAAATAGATAAAACATTTGAGAAATGTCTATGGAGACCCAGGCGTTCCTCTGAGGACAGAGATCAGAATACAAAAAGATTTCGGGTAAAAGAAAACAGAGGGAGAGAGCGGGCACCTCTCGTCTTTAGCCATGAACGCTACAGTGCAAAGAAGAAGGATTTGCCGACTCATCTACGCTCAGAGATGGTTCTTAGTCAAAAGAACACAATTTCAACTCATCCTTAGAAGGAGAGGAGCACTGAGTGGAAAAGATGATAAGCTCATGTAACAGGTTGGAATGGAGTAAGAAGCTAACATTCAACTGACCTACCCATCCAATGCTTCTTCTCTCCTGAAGCTTAGATAGAAAACTATATTTTCTTGACTAAGAAACGTTTCTAGGCACTACTAGGGCTCGTGAAGGCAACTATCCCGCATTTCTGAACTCTAGCGCTTAGTGACAGAAACCAGGGGTGTCCTCAACCTACCAACTATATTTTCATCAATTTTTTTTGATTTATTTTATAAGTACGCTTCTGTTTTCTTAGTGCTTACGTTGAGTTGAGTCATGAACAATCTCTGCTACAAATTAAAGCGTTCTAAGGAGGTATCCAGAAATAATAGATGCAGATCACTCCAATGGAGCTGTCTACACAATATCAAGGCTGTGAAGAATTTCTAATCAAAACAGATCAACACAACGAAATAAACAATAGAGAGACAGCTCAATTTTTAAGCGATTGCTGAAAAATCATCAAAATCAGACTGAGCAAAATAATTCGAGAAGAGGAATGATCTTTGCGGGTGCGAAATTGATGGCCAAACGAGTTTGAGTTTGGCAGTAGAGACACATATGCCATGGGGCCATGTCGGTCACTTCAACTCTTCGATTTTCCGCAGATCATTTCAAAACGATGGAAGACACAGACCTTTGCAGAGAACTATATAGTGGATAATACCATAGCACAGTTCATTTTTATTGATTTTCTGCTGATTACGGTATGTATTGTGTAAACCCTGTGCGAACCAAAAGCTTAAACAAATGGGATTTTTCAGTGGGACGATTGTTTACAATTGAAATCCCTGTGTGTGCGGGCAAATGAAAGAAACAATTAAAAAACCTTTTTTACTCGATTACAACTGAATGTAGGAGATTGTGGATATTCATGAAATTACGATAGAAGGTCGTAAATGACATTAAAGGGTGCGCCATGCCCTGTTCACCTACTCAATTTCATAAACAGCTCGAAAAGGTTCTCGCGTATCTCTGATAGTATAATAAACGGCTAAGTCTTTCAATTCGCATGAAAAACTTGATAACGACTACTATAAACCGCTAGTTCAAAATGCTTGACTGGTCTCGATAGGGATTGGATCGTCGGTATGGAATCTGGGCCGGATACTACTGCCCAGTCTCAGCGAATATTTTCTTTGTAACCCACCTACTGAAACTTGCCACCATGTTCAAGTTTAAAACGGTAGACTTTCTGAGGTGAGGTTTATCAGCTCCTTTAGGATGACCCCGGCTACTACCTCAAACAGTTCGAAGATTTCATATATGTATCAAAGATAATTTGCTGTGCAAGCCACTTCGGAGGCTCATTTATTCTCTTAAAGGAACCCAGCTTCCACCAATCTACTCTCACGAGATAGGAACTTTGACTGAACGAACCAGATCCGGGCTTCATCTAGCTATTAACACAACTCCCCTACACTTCCCCTTGTGGTCCGATGAAATGGATCTTTGTAAAGACCATTGATTTCCCAATAATGCTGCTACTGAGCTAGTACTAGTTGCCTCTGTAGAACAGTAAGCTGATAGATATGTGGGAAAATTGGTATTGGAAGTATTTATTGAAGGATACCCTTCAATGTTTGGATACGGTAGCAGAGAACATGCCACGCACGCAAACACTTGAAGAATATCATTTTGTGATGCACCACCCACCAGTAGACAAGGTTTTATATACAAAAATAATCAACACACAACTTCCTAGAAATCACATGCTTGATTTCGCTATGAAGTTAGTACAGCAGCAATTCAGTAATTTCTGACGAAACTATCAAAAGGCAAATCAAAGCAATTCCCACTGCAGCCACGAAAGAAACTTATATTTTGTCATTTTCTTGTGAAAAATGTAAATTTTGAGACAATTTCGACAAGAAGGCCCTCTCCTCGTGCCGCAACGCTATGCAAGCTATTAAAAAACAAAAGAAAAGAAAATCCCCGGAAAATGATCAATAGTCTACAAAGCAGAACGTTCGTCTATACGTCTGCAAGAAAAAGTCTCTAATAAAAAATGTTTATGCAACCGTAAAATACCTCGTATAAATTATTAACAATACTAATTGAGAACTGCTTTGTAAGAGCACCGGAAACTGGCTAGCTCACTGGTACGCTTATTTTAAAAACTCTCATAACACAAAATCTAAAAAAATACAAAAATCCAAATTAAGTGATCAAAAGATCGAATCCAATAATTGACGTCGTTGTTCTGTATTCATGAATAAGGCTTTAATAAGTGATCGGACTTCTCCAGGTTGAAGCCATTGGGCTAATGGGCCCTTGGCGCTGCACCAACGGTCATCGATGCTCTGAAATAATTTTTTCAAATACAAAGATATAACAAATTTGCAATTAAGCGATTTGATTCTGTAAAAATAGAAAGTTCTGAAAACGTTCGACTCCGGTCTAGGTCAAGAATAACCAGTCTGAGAGAACAGCCTTTTGGATCCCATTTCAAAACTCGACCGACCTGTCCATAAAACGCTGTAAGGTCTCCCTTTTCATTAGGCTTCAAGAGAACTGTAAAAGTGATTACAGGAGATTATAGGTGGTTAACAGGTAATAGCTAGGACGTGAGTTCTACTCATAAAGGATAATCACTTGACGAAAAGAAAATAAGCACTCTTAGGGTCTTATAAGATAACAAACGCTTAACTCATAACCTAATCCCTCGTCATAATCCAGCTAATTTTGTCCGCATATAACGCAAAAAACATATACTCATTCTGCCATAAAGGCAGCTGTGTTGACGCCTCATACAAGCGCGATATCCCCACCTGAAGACTTCCTTTCAAGCAGAAGATGATCTCCTTCATTCGGAAGTACGACGTGGAACAGATCTCATGAATAGCTGAGCGGCCGTTTACCTGAGGTAACAAACTCATTTACCAACAGTTAACAACCTATTCGAATTCCGCCGAACTAACCGCGAAAATAGGGGCCAACTCTGTCAACAGGTTGTCAACCATATCGGCTGAGATGTCTGCGTCCACCGACCGTATATCCTCCATACGTAGGATCACATCACAAATACTGTCCAAAAGAAATGAAACAATGTTTGCCATCGTTTGCGAGTACACCATCTCAGCCAAAACCTTAACTCAATTGAATTACTACCACTTCACACCAAACTCTATGAAACGAAGTAGCTCAACGTCTACGCAAGCTATACCGCCAACCACCTAACAGAAAACAGTAACATACTTCCTTGAGACGACGAGAAATGGTCTGCACATGTTTAAGGCACGCATTGAGCACATCCTTCGTCTCATCGCAACGTTCGAGATCATCTATCTTCACAAACACTGTAAACATTAATCTTAACGGAACAAATCGATTTTTCACTAAGAGGAATAAATGGCAAGCATGAGCGACGATTCGTTCCGCCTTAACATCTCAAGCAATTACAAGTGACCGAAATTTAGCCTGGGCACGGTCATACCATTGATTGGACATGAAAAACTACTCTATGAGCCCCAAATACGAAAAAAGGCGTCACTATCATTCTACTTTTAGGTATAAGGTCAACTTATGCACACTCTGAAGAAAGTTACTACCACCGAAGCCGGGGTAAGACTGTAGACAATGCTTGGCGATGGGTTTGAAAAGATGCGAGAACCACTTGGGCACATTGAGCACACCCAACCGAAAACATCTGAGAGCGTCCCCACAACAGACTGCAGATGCAGAAATGTAATGTTCCTCAACTTGAAGGCCAATAGAATGTCAAGGAAGCGATCGCCATTATACGGTCTTCATACAGTGCCTCTTGCCTCTTTTTGCCCATAGGGAGTACGTAGCTTGCTTTTTCTCCAAAGTGGTTACAATTTATAAGTGCACGCTAACTATGGCTACAGTATTGACCGCTGCAAACGATTGAATGGCAACAATGGCAACTTATGAAAATGCTTTTTTTCGGTTGCTACCTGCTATATATAGATATAGAAAAACAGTAAATAACAACGTACGATCATCTTTCACCAACATGACACTGATGTCACGTCGACATTGCCGAATCGTCTAAAAACGATAAAATAAATAAAAATCAAGAGGAGACGAGCTGAAGCTCCTCAAAATTCTCTCAAAAGGCTCTTTATACCTGCTCCAACATGTCGGCCCCCAACTCGCGCAGCTTCCAGAGCGAATCTGTCAAAATCAGGCGGACATTTGCGTACTGAAAGGAAAGATTTTTACTCATGCAAAGTGATACAGCCCCAGTCGAAGAGCAGACAAGTATATTTGCCTCGTAAGAAGGAGAAACCATGAACACTTAGGAAAAAAACGAAAAAAAGGCAATAAAAAAGAGCGAAGTAAACAGAAATCATAAAAAGTCAGAAATCCCAAATGTGTTGTGTATGAATTAAATAATAAGAAACACAAAAAAAGAGTAAAGCAAACAAAACACACCTTTTCAGACTGCTTGTTGACTCCTTTTAGAACGCTGAATGGTAGCAACATAAGTCGATGACAAATGTAATAACAGTTATTGTAGAATATTGCTGCAACCACAAAGGAATTATTAAACACAGCTTCAAGAAAGAGTAGTGATTAACTGACCAGCCATCTGTGGCATCGATGAAATCGCTGTTCCATGATGTCGGGGTGCTGTCAACTCAAACAGCTGAACCACATTGCGGGCAGTCAGCGTGAGACGGGCACCCAGTTTCTGTAATCGTGGAAGTCAAAAGTAAGGGGGAGACAGAAAAAAAGAAAAAAAAGGACGATCTAGTCGCTAAGTCGATACTTTGATTGGTTTTACCTCATTATCAGTAGCGACGGCATCATTTAATGTACAGAAAACAAGTTCCATCAAATCCACCGTAGATTGACTAAAATAGGAGTTTAAATTTAAAGGAAAAACCAAGGATGATAAAACGGTTGCGAATACCCACGCCTTACCTAACTTTACAACGAGGTAGTTGCAGTAGTAATGGATATACGCTGTCACATGAGGTAACTGATTTAGGTATTGTTTTTCCAAACGCTTCCTTGTACTGGAGGATGGTCTCTTCACTGACCTCTTCACCAGTCCCCACCTGAAACGCCATTTGAAAGTGAAAGAAGCACGAGCTAATGAGAGGGGAAACTAGGATGCCATAGATACCTCAGCCAATTCCAAATACGGCATACAAATCAACTCCTTCGCTCTTTTGATTACCTCCAAACATCTTCGATCGATGAATACTGTGAAATGCTGCTCGGAAACTGCGTGGAATGTTGGTGTAGCATCGTTGAAAAAGCCTAACTCCTAGAAATGACAGACGGTCGGTATGTAAAAAGGAAAAGCAAATGTAAAAACTAACTATCATATCTTTTCTGAATTGTTCGGCGATTTCCATGGCATGTTTCAGTTTTGATCCATCTGAATCTGGTACTGGTATCGAGGCGGCGACGCACTGCTGCAAAAGGGCACTATTTCATTTAAAAAACAGGCTTGCTAAAGAATTGTGAGCAGACAGATGTCTGGTCGCACCATCAAAAGAATAGTTTGAAAAATCTCTAATCTTAGAAGTACGAAGAACTGCATGGGAAATCCTGGTTGCTTCTGGTAGTGCCCTTTTATTACAAAACTTACTGTGGGACATGTCAGAATTAGCAGCGAATATGGGAAAGCAAAAAAGCGTACCTTCAAGAAAATTGTCATGAGATCTTCTTGTAAGAATCCTCCGAGACACAAAGACAATGGTCGATTGTTAAGCACGATTCCATCAATAGCCGATGCCAGATGGGTGAAGAAACGTTTCAATCCACTAAAAATGAAAACACTGGGATAAGGTCAGATATACGACTTTTAAGCAAAGAGAGTGCTGCCCTCGTTACAGCTATCAATTTAATCCCCTCGGAACACTATCAAACAAAACGTAAGAATTTAAAATTTAACTTATAGTACAAACCTTATTTTTTATTTGCTAATGTAAATGAAACAGTTAGATAGCCCACAAGCCTAATAGGCTGCTCCGAAATCCACGGATTCACCGTTCCTGGTTTTCCCATGGCAGCGCTAGGCATGCAAAATAAAAATGTGAGCGAGATTATTTTTCAGGTGAAGGAGCCCGGAACTAAAGAGCAGATAAAATGGTCCTCCATACAGACGTTGCATAAAAAATTCATGAAATAGCATCGATTTTACTTCTACACAGTTTCCAGTTGCGACCAAGACCATAGCCTGAACTCCATAAAGCGCAACTCACCCAACAATTCCCTCCAAAGAGATACCACGAACAGTTGGTCTGACTTTGGAGCTGGCAGTGAATTTTGCAGTATTATTCTAAAAAGTTGTGTATGAAGAGATGCATTGAGTTGATTTCCCCAGCAAAAACTTGCAAAAGCCAACTTAATGAGCATTAAACCATTCAAAATTTGAATTATCACCACTTTTTGAATGAAGACTCAAACTAGAATGTATCCCTTCAGCTTCGTTACATTTGCCAAGACAAGGTGAAGTCACTGAATCTTTTCTTCTTAAAGACAGTTCACCTACCGAAACAGAGAATCGTTCGTATGGATCCACACCATTCTCACTATCGATAATAGGTTGGACAAAGTTCTTCACAATGTACGAAGCCCATTTCTTCATTCGTCTGTCGAGTTCACCCACAAGACTCAGTGCAGCGAGAACCTGAAATTTATTATAATTGCACAAAAGGCTGTTGGAGCTGAAGAAAATATTAGCTACATATGCTATGAACTATCCCAAGCTTTTCTTGAACTCGCTCGAAACCCCACAAAACATTTAGTCATCGTGTCAAGTTCTTGCATGCAATCCAAAAATTTAAGCAGTAATTCCCATGAGATTCTTATGCTGGTAAATGATGAGCAATATAAGGCGAGAAAATTAAAATTTTGCTGATAAGAAGAAATATCTCCAAGTTAAGACAACAGTGATAAGGATTATAAAATCAACCTACCTCAGAGGTTTCTTTCGAATCACTGTTCCGAATATGCATATGAACAGTACCCTTCACCTCGGTCGAAGGATAGGAAACAAATTCATCAAAGCTGCACGTTAATGTATACACAAGCGACTTCATCATAAACGAAATTTCATCGCGAAGCATATCGCGACAACGACCAGTTAAAATGGGCCATCCGTCGTCCTGATGAAATAACATTTGAAAAACTATCGAACTAATACGAACTTCACGTTCAGTTCAGTAAGAGCGAAAGTTATGGCTCTAAAATTACCTGTGTTATTTCGTTGAGAAGCGACTCGCATTCGAGCAGATTAGTGGCTTCATGGATTTTACTGAGTGAATTAGAACGACACGCAATTAGAAGTGCCTCGATGTTTTGAAATTTATCGAGCAGTTGACGGCATTCCGATAAGTCCGCTAGCTTTTTGCGGAGGGCACGGTCTTGTGCGGTCAAAGTAAGCCGCGATTTCTGAAATCAGGAAGAACGAAAAGTAACTAAAAGATGCGGCCAACATACGGACAATCCCCGATTTAAGGTTATTGGAGACAATCGAGAAATAGTTCATGCTCAATTTATCTGTGTAATTAGATCGCATCCTGACAACTCTGGAAATTCGCTATAGAGCTCGGGTAGCCGCGCCCCTCTTTTCATTATTGCATACAACTCGATTACCCATCTCATAAAAAGTGTACCAGGGCTTCTTAGCTCCACCGCCACTACGGACCCAGAGACTTGATGATCAATAACCTACAGCCAGGTGCTTTGAAGCTGGACAAAAAACTCACAAAGCGAGAACAGTATAAGAACACCTTCAACCGCCACAACAAATATGCCAAGCCAGGAAAAATACAGTTCAAACGCAGATTCAGTAAACACCTATATGCAATTTAGACGAGGTTGAGTGCTTGTGAGTATATAACGCGACCTCGCCCCATTTTTCCCGTGAAACCTTGCTCATAAATACTAGTAACTTTTCAGTAATTCTCTAAGTTCTTCAGTGACAACTCCAGATTCTTCATTCGTCCACCCGCCAACCATAAGTTTCCATACGCATTTGAACAAACCTGTTCTCCAGACGAATCCATACTGTTTTCGCGTAGAAAACTGTCCGCGAGATGTAGCTTTTCATTGACGTTGTTTGACAAATCTTCCAATTTCATGACAAGATCTTCTTCGGCAACTTTCAGTAGTGGTTGAAACTCAACATATCGTTCCTGCAGCCCTTTCGCTATCTTCTCAAGGTCTGAATTATTGGTGAAAGATGTCAACTTGAACGTTATCAATGGTCCTTGTTTAACTGACCGCAGTCTATTTCCCTTTCGAGTTCTTCCAACTCACCGAGCATCCTGAAGAATGTGAGACAAAAGTATGCACAAAAAATGACCGGTAATCGACGAAGAGATGAGCGAGGGTAAAAGAAAAGCGGGTTCGTGATAAAATCGGAGATAAGGTAAAGCAAGTCGAAGAGCGGAAGGCACCATAATCATACTCTTCATTCTTCGCTGGAAAGAAAAAGGCGAGACCTTCTCAACCCATCATCTGGTAAAATCAACTCAATACGAAGAAATGCACTCTACACCATTTTTTGGTTTTTTAGTTACGGTAAGCCGAAGACGGTCCGGGAAATATTGAAAAACTTGAATGAGAAAATGCAGTATCGTTTGAAACCGCTGCAGAGTCCGCACAACATATCAGAGGAAAGAAGAGCGTCTGACACAACTGCAACTCAAAGTGAGAGCAGAAACATGAAAAAAAGCAAAACACATACGGAAAATGTAAAATTTATGGTAAACCCGGGAAAGAATTGAGGACACTCAAATTTCGCGCCACAATCTTGAAATGAGACACAAATTCCGATTAGGGCGCGGTATCTGCTCGCCACCCAAAGTCCTATCTTATGATTAATGTCGGGTGAGAATACCGTATGTGTTTCCTACTACGTACTCCAAAACTCACTATCGGCAAAGAATCCACGTACCATTGAAGCCAGTATTTCGATGCTCATCTCTGAGTTACTTAGCCAGACCCACTTCACACGATGTAGGAGAAATACATCAGGCCAGCGGTTTTTTCTTTAATTATTATGGTGGCATTGCCAGGAATATGCACTTTTCATTTCACCGAGTCTCCCTCGTATTCAGAAACCTCTATTCCTCCAGAAAAAAGTGTTGAAAGCATTCAGCAAGGAGGTGTTGAGTCTGGAAGTGGTAGAGTCTGTGTGGTAGAAATGTGCTGACAAAGGGAAGTTTGTGTGGCAACAGCATTGACCTAATGTCACACCCGACTTATCGTAGCCTCTGCTCCATCGGCTCTACCCACATCAGTTCGCGCTGCAACATAGGGTGGATCCAGCACTCGGTCTCCTTGACAACATCTTTCGAGGGACGGAACCGATAAAGCACCCTCTCCCCTTCTAGAGTTTCATAGGTAAACAAGTGATATTGTTTATCAAACCCACAAGAGGAGCCACTTCCATGGTGCTACATTTCGTTGGGCGTGGCTTAAAGTTCATGTCATAAACGACAAGCGCTCAGCTGGAACGTGGGTGATACACGCTCACTCACACACAGTAAGGCGTGATGTCGCAGGTCTCAACCGACGGTGAGTAACCAAAGGCTTATCACCTTTGTTCTTTCCGCTTGTTCAATTATTGATCGATAATCGCCGCTGATCGCTATTATTGATTGATCGCTGATATGCACATCATCGGTCCGTCATGAACAATTTCTCATTTTTCTCTCGAGCACAATCAAAATTTTACAAAGTTTGGTATTGGGCAGCAATTTACTGCCCAAGTCACTGTTTTGTGTATTGCTTATTGCTTTATTTACTGTTTATTATCAAGTAGTTTAAATGTGATGACACATACTTACAGAATTTTCAGTGCATTCACATTCATATAAGCCGTAGTGTCCCGAACAATCTGAAAGAGAACTCACCCAAACTTTTATAAAGTGCTTGAAACGATAATTTTTCTTGAAAAAAATAAATCAATCGATTTTTAAGAGAGGTCGGAAACACCTGATTTGAACCCTGAACGATTGGAAGAAAATCATCGGAATTTCGCTGAACTTTTGGATCGACTCGATTCCAGTACAGCTCAAATTCGGCTTCTACGACAATTGGTCGAATTACGTATAAGAGCTTTAGAAATAGCTCAAGAAGCTGAAGAAGGTAATATCAAAGAGTAAAAGTTACATTATTTCCAAATACATATGCCCTTGACCCTTCTTACCCCTTTTTTACCAATATAATTGCAGAAGTTAATAAAAAAATATTAAAATTCATCCTTGTTTTGTAACGGCAGCACTTACAGCATTGCCAAAATGCAGGTCTTCTCGATAGGGACCGGAAAAAATTGAAAAGATGATGATGCTGTTGACGTTCAGGAGCAAGGATGACTAATCGCGCTGTTAATGGGACTTTTTATGATGCGCCATGCACCCACCTAACGATCAGAAACGCGGGGTTGTTGGAAAGCGTAAGCTGTGCATAAATTGACTTGCTTCGCACTCACACCCTCTTACGCAATTAGTCTTCCATTTAGCCGACCCCTTGCTGTTTAAGAACGCTTGTACAAAACCCTACGTAGAAACGAGGTTCCCATAATTTTCTAAATATATGCGAATAGGAAAACCACTCTGCCCAGCTCCGTTTTAGCCTATTCACTTCGAACTAATCGAAAATCAAGTTTAGGATTCGAGGAAGGAGTAAAGGGGTAATTTTCGATTTCTGAGTGTACGTGAATATTTTTTAATTTTTTTCTGACTTTCTACTGTACTGATTACAGAATGATTTATGATTCTTTTTTGCATTGACAGTGGGATTAGTTATACAGTGGCTTGGTCAAAAACTTTGAAAGTCCTGGAACACTTCGAAAATATTTTACCAAATGGTTATTCCTACATTCAATGACGGCTTCGATCGATATTATTATTTTTATTGGTTGCTGAGTCATAAGCCCATTTCTCGGCAGCTTTTCGAATAGGCTCATCCAAAACTGCGATTGAGAAAAGCAGTTGATCCCGGTTCATCGATCATTTTTTTGTGACTTCCAGATTGTGCTTCAGATAGGTGTTGATGAGAGTCAGGATCCAATTGTGGCTAGGCTGTACGG